TTTGCAATTCGATTAGAGTGTGTTGTGTAGTTATCAATTAAGATGGTGGGCATCTAAGGATAGTGTTTCTAATGTTACGCGTTTGTTTTTTCATTATCTCCGGCATACGCACGCCTACAATTGATGATCGTTACCATGATTATGATCTACCTTCAGGATTGAATTCTACAAACCGCTTGCTCACTTCAAAAAGACCATAATTTACCCGCCATTTTACGGTGAAGGAAGACATCGTTTTACAATCTGCGCATATCGGTGAAAAGTTACAAAGATATGTGTGAACACAACCCGCAGTGGGTCAGCGTGGTTGACTTAAGGTAGGTCTCGAACCTCTCAGTGGGAATGTATAGTGAACTGGTTATGACTGTTAAGAGCGCGCGGACTCAATTGACATTTAAAAATAGACTGAAATCCTTTTTTATGGAAGCTCAGAAAGATACGTAATAATTTTAATTATTTTATTTTATTATTGTTATTTTTTTTCGTTTATTTTTCTATTAGTACGCATAGTGGTATCAAATAACATAGCTTAGTTATCGTGGATTTCTAGCGTAATATACCCTAGTAACATTAGCCTGCTTACCAAATTTAGAATGGAACACGTGGTTTAAAATTTCTTCTCAATTATCAACTGCTGTTACTGACGTGCGTAGGACGCAAAGGCATTTGCAGAATATCAGCGTTTACTGCACCCAGGGGTAGTAAACACATAGCTGAGCAGCCCTCATTTCGTTTATTTATTTATTTATTTTTTGACGCCATATACTTGTTTTTTGCATGTTTTTACTTTTAGTAATAATTGGTATAATTTTAATTTTAAATTTGTTATTTTCTGTGTTGTGATTTTTGTAAGTGCTGTAGTGTTCTGAATAGATTAAATGATTATTATTATTAGACAAAATAGAACCATATGACAAAGAAATATGTTTCAAATACCTATTGGTAGCAATTTAATGTGAACATGGTCTTGTTTGGAAATTATTCCACATACGATTTAGGATACAGGTAAACAGTATGAACGTGCAACATAAAATATATAGATAGAAACTATTTAAAATGCGCAGAGGTAAAATATTTAAGCCTTTAAATGCTAATTCCAGTCGGCAACTGGCCCCACCTACCGAACTACCGAACTTGCAGTTGTAAATCATTGGCACGTTTCAAATTAATTCACAACAGCGCTTGACTCACTAATAAATTTACTGCACCACGTACAAATGCTTAAATTAACTTATGTACAGTTCTAAACGAACACACGGTAATAGAACAAATTCATCTAAAGGAATTTCCACTGAGTTACCTCTTGTTTGTTGAATAGTGTTTTGTTGAAATTGGTTAACACGTGTATTGTTAAAGATTTATGCATTGAATTTATGTGTGTTTATGTTTTGATATTAAGTATGTAACATTTCAAAATGTAAACTAAACTCTTCGATGTTAGTTAAATTTTTCTACTCATCTATACTATTATAAACTAAAATCTAAAATCACTTTTATTGTCTGTCCAAAAACGTTAAACTTATGGAAAAATATTCAATTATAACTAACCTTAATTTTTTTTCTTTCTTTTGTTGTTTAAAATTTTAAGTTCAATTTTTTTTTTCCTAATTTAGACTAGTTAATATAGTATGCATAAATCTTAATCGTTAGCTGTGACCTTTTAACCTATGTGCTGTCATTATGTATACAATTTATATTCTATTTTCTCTTATCTTTGGTAACATACTTATGTAATTACGAATTGTTCTTTCACTTAATTATCTCAAATGTATGTAAATTGATATTTCTGCCCGTCCACCGCTGCTACTGACGTGTGGATGATCCCAAGGGTTCTCGCGGAAGATCAGCGCTGGGTGCTTCGATCAGAAGCATCCAGCATTTATTGCTGAGCGAGGACCCAATCCGGTCAGCACTGCATACACATTTCAATTGTTTTGTTTGTCCTGTTAATTACGTGTTTATTATTATTATTTTTTTAATTACTTTGTTGTGTGTGTGTTTTTTTTTCTCTTATTCCAAATTGTGTTGTAGTGGTGATAAGATTAAATGTTATTTTATTTTATTTTTATTTATAATAAAGCGTAAACACACACTCTTTGTTGCCTAAGATGTCAGCAATTACAGCATATTTTCGAATAATACTCTTTTTAATAAAAAGCCCTACACTTACGATACGCTCTAGGCTATATATTTTCACGCCATTAAACTTAGGGGGTAAACATTTTGGATAAAAACCCTAATGTGGGAAAGAGACCATTAGTTGCTGCCAACATCAAGAAATCAAAATTGCCATGCTTTGTCATCATGTCATGTCATTTTGACATTTGCAATTGAATTTGACAAATGTAATCAATAAAACAATTTTCATAATTTCATGCGAATGAAGTCGCACGGTAACAGCTAGTATATTATAAAGTTATTTTTGCTTGTTATTATAACAATTATATTTTATACTTTGTCTATATAAATGTTTTTTGCAGATAATTGATGTCATTTAATACTATTTAATTAAATTAATAATACTATTTTAAAATTACTAGGTTAGGTACTCGAGAAACAATATTCGACTTCGATTAAGACTGGTTATCGTAATTAATCTGGTTTGTGTAATTACATCAAGGGCGACATCTACCTGTCTATATTATAACATAAATAATCTTTGTCACTCTTTACAAATATAACTGTATAAATATAGACGAAGCGAAAGAAATATGGGGTCTCGTGTGACGTCATTGTTTTGACGTTTTAACTAATTTTTTGTCAACGACTGTGTTTGCGAGGTATAATAGTAGTAGGCTATGGCTATCAATTTGCCAAATTCCATTTAAATTGGTCCAGGCATTCTGGAATTACATAGTTACATCTTCAAATCAAAGCAGCATGCAATCATTTATAAGTATGATTTATAAAATACTAGTTTTCGCTCGCGAGTGTGAGTTAAAAAGACAAAACGAGTAGCATATGCTCTACAACTGCCTTCCAGACTACGCTCTACAACTATGCCGAATTTCATCAAGATCCGTTCACCCGTTTAGGCGGTAAACTCTAACAAACATCTATACTAAACCAACTAAACTTTCGCCATGCATCCCACTATAGTTTGTCTAAATAAGATAGATTAGTTTGACAATTTAGTGGGGATGGGTTGGGTTGAATAAGGCATGAATCTTTTCACTTTCGATTTTTATTCTTATAGAAATCTATCGAGATTCATAGTTACTAATGATTTAAAAACACACACTGTTTTCTCAAATTAATAATTGCCTACAGAACTATTACAAATATCGAGAGCAAATAGATTTTTATTACTACTACAGCCGTAAGTAATCGAATTGGATTTGGCTATTATTATTGTCATCACTAAATTCTCTACACTATAATCAATACTAGAATTGTCCTCTAAATTAGTTAATAATCATTTTAGATAAGGCGTCGGTGGCTTAGCGGTTTAAACACTTCACTTGTAATCTACAGGTCTTGGGTTCGAATCCCGCCATGTACCAATGTGATTTTAGATAGATACTTTATATGCGTCTTCATTATTTAGACTATAAATATCTTTATCGCAAAAACAAAAGCATAAATTCTTTTCATAGCTTATGTTAAAAATGTTCTCGACAACGTTAATGTGATGTTCGTTGATAATAAAATGATTTTCTTAACAAAATTTCGTCGTTTTAAGAATAACATCCTTCGAGTTTAATCGAGTAGCAATTGTTAAATGTAGTGTGTGAACACGATTCGTTGTCGATGGAGGCGGTGAGCCGTGCACCTGTGAAACACTAAAGAGCTAATGTAAGAACTCGTGGTGTAAACGTTTAAACTCCGACTTAGTTTAAATATTCTGAGTTTTCCAATTTTCTTTAATTTAAAGTTTCTTAATCTATACTTCTATACTTATATAATAAAGTGTAAACACACACTGCTTTGTGGTGTAGAATGTCAGCAATCACAGCATATTTTTGAATACTCATGTCTTTAATAAAAAGCCCTACACATACACGACGGCGACGAAGGGGTAAATTATTTGAAAAAAACCTTCATGTAGGAAAGAGACTATAAACTACAAGCGGCCAATATGAAGAAAGCAAGGTTATTATCGTAACGGTAATTTTAACATTTGCAATGGAGAATTTAACAAATGTAAACAATACGGGAACAGCTAGTTTTTTATTTTACAGATAACTATTGTTGATAACAATGCAATTATACATTTTTTAATTTATAACTTAAGTAATCTTACGGATTTTTATAATTAATGTAAGTTACGTTTAAGAAAAAAATATCCATTTATCATTTTACATAAAAATGATAAAATGTTTTACAATAAATGATTATGCAAATTTACATATAACGTGAGTGAATACGTGAAAAATGACAAATGTATACAATTCATAAACAAATCGCAAAACGCATCCTTGAAAATATAAACTGAACGAATATATAAAATATGAATGCCTTGTGAACATTCTTATTCGAATAACACTAATAAAGATACACATAGCGTCTGGACGTAAAAATAATTCAGTAAAAATTCCAAATAAATTGTGAGAAATTATTTAAACAGTAATAAAATAATAGTATAGCTTTGTTATAACACATTTGCTAGAAAATTGTTCTTATCAGTGTCTGATAATAGTTTATTTTTATTCGACCATTCTTAAACCTTAATAAAACTTATATCTTCTAATGTGAGTGGGCATGTGAGATACACACAAGTACTTGGGATCACATTCGTGTTACGAGTTAAAAATATTTTTATATTGAGGTAAGTTTTTTTTTACTATTATTGTGATTAACGTCTAAGAGAAACATCATATTACATACCAAAATATCTTACTAATATTATAAATGCGAAAGTTTAGAGGATGATTGTTAGAGTTTGCTGAAACGGCTGAACCGATTTCGACGAAATTTGTTATACAGAGGATAGTCTGGAAGAACACATAGGTTTTTTAAGCCCACGCGGACGGAGTCGCGGGCAAATGCTAGTTTAACATATAATAGTTTAGATTTTCGAAATTACGAAAATCAACATGTAACATCAATGGATGTCTAATAATAAATTATTAACTTGAACATCCAAACATCAAAGACAACCCGATATCTTAGCAAATTTGTGACGGAGATTGTGTTAATTTCTGAGATATCATTATTATTATTTTAGACAACATGGCACGAACTAATTTTGGGATAAAGAACGTTCAAAGGTTGATGTTTATCAGAAGCTTAAGCAATAATCCTCGCAATTTGTGGAACAAAGACAACGTCGTTTCTTCACCGAGCAAGGATGTTCACTTACCTTTGCTCACTGTCAACGATTTCATTTGGCAGAATTTAGAGAAATGGGCAGATAAACCGGCAATGGTAAATATAACTTAAAGAAAATTATAATCATCACAAAACACTAATACGTGTATACAAAATTATTTACCGTAGCGAGCATTTATGTGAAACATTTGGCAATTTACTTTTTTCACTATTCTTCGTTACGGAAAAAGTACACTACGTGCAGTCTGCACGTTATGTACGAGTAATGTAAAGTACCTCTCTATCAACTGTCATATCTGAATTAACCCCCTTCTAACGCTTTTCACACAATCTATCGATAGGTTCTTTGGTCTTCCTCTACCTTTGTATCCATCCCTGCTCAAACAAATCCTAGTGTTAATTATAATGGTACACTTCAATTTTAATATCTTTCTTACTTATGTGAATATGAGAATTTCTTCTGATCTTGCATCTAGATATTTATTGGGATTACAAAGTCTGTCTTTACTAGGAGCATATCCTAACCTTGACTCTGAATTAAATAAATCTAGTCCAAGCTATAGTGTGTAAGTATTTGTATTAACATGATATATTTTATTCAGGTTTGTGGAATCACAAATCGAACATATACGTATCATCAACTCTATAAATATTCTCGGAGATTTGCTGCAAAATTGCTAACCCAATTCAATATCCGAGAAGACGATGTGACTTGCATAATGATGTCCAATAACCCAGAATACGCCGTAGCCACACTCGGCTCCCTTGAAGCAGGCGCAACGGTGACCACAATCAATCCCATTTATACAGTCCGTAAGTATTCAAACATGCGTATATTTATTCTTAATGGAACCTCCATTAATAATTACTACTATATCATTATCTGTCTTTGGGAAACATGGTCAAAGAATCCTTGTAATAAAATGTAAACGATAAATTTAAATTACGGTTTTCTCAGTATTGTATTTGACAATGAAAAATCTACATGTAACTCAAATATTTAATGTAATTAAACAACGCAATCTTATCTTACAATACATAATAAAAAGTTGTATTTATTGTATAAATTTATATAAATTTCTTCAACGTTAAGAACAAAATTAAACTTTATTCTCTTGCAGACGAAGTTCAAAGGCAACTAATTCTATCATCTCCCAAAATTATAATTGGAATACCAGAAACTATTGAAATACTAAAAGAAGCGTGTAAATTAGCCAAACTGAATATACCAATCATAACAGTAACTAGTACAGGAGAGATCTTACCCAATGGGACCATATCATATCACGAACTCATAAGTGATGACCATGTAGATACCAGTGTTCTGCAAAGAGTTAATAAAGATATAGACAGAATAGCGCTTTTACCGCATTCGAGTGGAACGACTGGTTTACCGAAAGCCGTGGAACTGGTACACCGGACTATTGTTGCAAATTTTGCTCAACAAAATGGGAAAGGTTTCAAATACTGTAAATCTGCTACAGGTAACTATAGTAGAGTTTCTTTCAATAATTCTTAATAGCAAAAGGTATCGGTTTCTGGAAAAAAAGCTATAATTACAATATCAGCTGTACTTTAAATTACTATTTCCATTTTTCAGAGTCCAGTCAAGAATCACTTTTAGCGGTTCTACCATTCTATCACATCTACGGTTCAGGGGTAATTATGCTGCACAAGTTGTCAATGGGTGCAAAAGTGGTTACATTGCCTAAATTTGAAAAGAATACATTTCTTAATGCTATTAAAATGCAAAGATCAAGTATACTACATCTCGCTCCTCCTCTGGGTAAACTTATATTATTTTCTTATTTTTGCTTGTAAAATAAAGCATCTGATACAGAAATTATTCTTATCCTGATATGTTTATTACTTTAATATTCCTCTGCACTACACTAAATAAATTAGAAAGAGCTATTTTTATATAAAAAAATAACAATAAATAAACTGTTTATTCTAGCATCTTTCCTGGCGACTCATTCTGAATGTAAAAAGGAAGATTTATCAACCGTCCATACCTACATCTGCGGCGCTGCACCTTTACCTAAACAAGATATTTTCAGACTTTTAGATAAATCTAAGGTGAATATTTTTAAAACTGTAAATGTATTGAAACCCGTTAAAAGATTTTTAAGCATTGTTTTTTCTTAGTCAGATGTAGATTTCTTACAAATATACGGACTCACGGAAGTATCACCGTTAGCCACAACGGCGCCACTAGGATTCAAAAATTATGCAACAGTTGGTCTTGCCTTACCTAATACGAAACTACGGATAGTAAATACGAAAGACGAAAGCCTAGGTCCGAATGAGGTAAACACATTATTCTAAATATCGTTCTAAACATCAGACTCTTTACATAAATCACCCACATTTTTCATTGTAAATTATTACTGTTAATTTACAGGTTGGTGAATTATTAATTAAAGGACCTCAAGTAATGAAAGGCTACAAAGATAATCCAGAAGCAACAAAGGCTGCAATAACAGATGATGGTTGGTTCAGATCTGGCGACTTGGCATCTATCGATCAAAACGGTGTGGTCACCATATGTGATAGGATTAAAGAACTTATAAAGGTATTGTAAAACATTGAAACAAATCTTAGTATCCATATGTATTGTGAAGTTATTTATAAAAATACAGAAATAACTATAAGTTAATTAAAAGAGTGATTTCGGAAATAGTTACTGAACTTTTTTTTTCTAAGGTAGCTAGCAGTATACTTGTTAACAAAGTATTTTTATTTTATCAGGTAAAAGGTTTCCAAGTTGCTCCAGCGGAACTAGAGAGTGTATTGAAAGAACATTCTGACGTTCTTGATGTAGCAGTGGTAGGTGTTCCGGATTCAAAAACGGGTGAAATTCCTAAAGCGTTTGTGGTAGTTAAAGAAGGAAGAAGTATTAATTCGAATGACTTAAAACAATTCGTAGAAGAAAGAGTAGCTGCTTATAAGAGAATAGGTGATGTTATGTTTGTAGATAGTTTACCAAGGAATCCTTCGGGTAAGATTTTGAGAAGGGTACTTAAGGAAAAATATGCATAGCAGCGTAGCAAATTGGGGTTTAGAATTGTAAGCATTTTGAATACATTTGGTTCTAGAAATAATTTGCAATTGTAACTTAAAATTAAAGAATTGTTATTAAAATACAAGTAATACAAAGTTGTAGGAAATTGAATATGTTTTCTGAAGAAGATGATTTATTGAAAGTAATAATGTTTAAGTACTAGTGGGATTTGTAAGGAAATTTAAAATTGATATGTTGGAAAAATAAAGTATGGCAGGGTTTTTTACAATAACTAAGTTTAAAATTATTTCCAAGTACTGTCGAATATTAAATAAAATGCTCTAAAAAATTACAAATTTCTATATTTCCTGTCATTTTTATTTCTAGTATTACTTCAAAAACATTTTCTATTAGTGAAAAATGTAACTTATTTTTTTCCGTTTCCTTTTAAAATTAACTATGAACTACGATTACTAGTATTATTAGCTATTTGAATATGTCCACCTACATTAATCTACAAAGCACAATGGTTAGCCTACCTTTGACTCTTAAATAGCAAAATAAGCTACGATATTCAAAATTAATCCAGATAGACACAGATCGCAATCGACAGAGATTGCGGTCAAATGTGATAGGACGTGAAACCTATCACGATGCATTGACCATTAACTGACATTAACTGTCGTTACGTCGTGAAATAACCTATGTAGAATAGTGTAATTCGAGATATATTATTTAAATGTAATTGTGTATGTATGTATTACGCTCGTACTGTTTGTGTACATAAATAGGGCACACTAATTAATAAATTTTAAGACAGATAGACGTTACTGTTTTAGGTCTTGGTCTAGACATTTATAATTTATAGCAATTCGCCGATGACGTCATTTTAGCCAGTCCAGAAATTAGCAACCTTTTCCATATATTTTCAATCATAAAACTACGTTCTAAAAAAACATTTTATTAATGTCATCGCTTTATCTAAAAAAATGATAACGTAATGTCAGCGGTATTCGTAAACCAAATATGTTTGACTAATTATTATAGCAGTTTTTAGCATTCGCTGATAACAACAATAGATTTTTTTGTTCGAAGCAAAAAAATCAACAACAAGATATAATAAAAATGATGAGGTCAATAGTCTTCAATGAATGTCGGAAATCTTTTCGATATGTGAAATATAATTAACGTTATATGTAAATGCGACAGTTTGTATGGATAGATGCTTGTTATCGAGTATCTCCAAAACAGCAGGATTTGAATTATTAGGATACATACATGTATAGAATTATCTGGAACACCTAGACCCTACATTTAATTTTAGATTTATAGTCAGTTTTTTTTTATTCCATGAGGATAAAGCGATAATAACCAGTTTTTATCTATATTCTTATAATAAAGCGTAAACACACACTTCTTTGTTACCTAAGATGTCGGCAATTACAGCATATTTTTGAATAATGCTTTATTTAATAAAAATCCCTACACTTACGTTACGCGTGTAAATATTTTGGATAAAAACCCTAATGTGGGAAAGAGACCATACGATACAAGCTGTCAACATCAAGAAGCAAGGTTGCCATAGTAAGGTAATTGGTATTTTAACATTTGAAATTGATAACTTGCCAAATGTAAATAATTAAATAAAATTTTCATAAATTCGAAGCCGTACTGTAACAGCTAGTGTTTACATACAAAATAAGTCACTGATCATGTTTCCAAAACATGAAGAGATGATAATGAGAACATTAGGAAATTGGCCTCGCTAAGAGGAAAGCATTTAAGTCACTTTGTTTTTGTCCTCTTTTACTCGACATCGTCCACATTTACACCGTATTTTAACTTATATTTCAAACTGTTAAGTTTTATTACAATTCTTTTTAAAAGTTTTCGGATATTCTGCATAATCGGGAATCAGAATGTTAACATGTTTTTGGACGTTATTAATCCTTACTTTATCAGTGAACTGTGTAACGAAGAACTAATTAAATGTAATGAACTAGTTTAGATAAAAATAGGGATTTTTTAGTTTAGAGTGTTGGTGAAACATATAATGGTTTAATGCTACAAAAGTCTCAGTTTAAGTGTTACTCAATAATAAAATGCATGATATATACTAATATAATAAAGCGTAAACACACACTACTTTTTGGCGTAGAATGACAGCAATAAAAACATGTTTTTGAATAATTCTTACTTTAATAAGAAGCCCTACAATTGCTACACGCTATAGGGTTAATATGTTCACGCTATTAAACTTAGGGGGTAACTAAATTGGAAAAATTCCTCACGTGGGAAAGGAACCATAAACTACAAGCTGCTAACATTAAGGAAGCAAGGTTATTATGGTTACGGTAATTGTTATCAAATGTCAAAGGCTTTCGGTGTCATTTGTGCATTTGAATTTTTCACGCGGATGAAGCTGCACGAGAACAGCTAGTCATAATTTACAAAGTGACCAGTACGTCATCAAGAAGTGAAAATAAAATTCGGTGTAAAAGAAAGTCTGGTAAAAAAGCGAATGGCTTTAGCAGTTGTAGGTTAACCCGTCGCCGTTCTAAAAGTATAATGGGAGTCTCGAATTAAACTAAAGTTTTAATTAGTTGCAATAGTGAATTGGAAAAGTGTGAGATGGTTTCAGGATTAGTTAGACGCCCTATTTAAATTTCAAATTATACTCTTAGTGTTAGTATAAAAAGTAAAACCCATTTAAATCCATGCTTTCAAATCTCTTTATAGTAAGTAAAGTTTTAAGCCTCAACTGTAAAAAAAAGCGATTTAAATCTATTTCAATTAACATTATTGGTTTCTACCTTTTTTAGATAAACTAAAATCAACTAACTTAATAAAGACAGAATAAATGGTTGTTTGTTACAGCCATCTCCAGAATGGCTACAGCCCACCACCACCCATGGCCCCACCGACACTCGTGTCATACGGACCGAATAGCGGAAAGGGCGCGCGGTTTGGCCGGTTATGGCTCCGCACATTCCTTCCATTCCTTCCAGAATGGCTAAACAAGTGGCCCTGAATTATACATAGTCTGGAAGAACACATTATGTACTAATTAAGATTTTTTAAATTCCTCGCCGACGTAATCGCAGGCAGCTAGTATCGAAATAAGGAACAAAAACCTATTGGTTTAAAATTGATTATTAATATGAAATTGTAAGACTTTGAAGCTAAATACATCAAACTTAGGTGTAAGCATAATTAACTTCATGAAAATTTTAAAACAACGTTCCAACTTCTTTCTTTAAGATCACAAATGCTTTTAAGTTTGAAGCGAAGGCTGGTCTCAGATGTTTATGACAGAACAAGCGCAGATGTTGCCTTCTCGTAAGTCCTATTAAAGTTTTCATTAATCTATACAAGGGTTCTTAATTGTGTTGTATCGTTAACAATAAAAGGGGTGCCAGCATAAACAAAGTTTTACAAAATGTTTAAAAACAGTCGAAGAAATGTTTAGTCAAATTTTATTTCTAGATACGAAAACAAGAGATGAAACAACAAAATTGAAAGCCATTTATATCTACAACAACTTTTTGGCACTAACTACAGAAATATCTATTTTAATAGACAGAACGGGTCGTATGTAAAGGGGATATTTCTCCTTCGCAAGCATCCGTACTCCGTCAAATGCACTTCTTTCCATCCGTACCTTAACTTAAACCATCCCAGTTGATTAGTCAAAAACTGGATTATAAAATTCAAATCAGTAAAAATTAGTACACAGACTACGTAAGTAAATACATCTATTAACATATCATACAAAATATTTATAATAAAAGTTTCGAAATTATTAACTCGTATCGAGCAATAAACATACCAGTGATATAGCTTGTACAACAAACAACAAACCGAACAACAAACACACAACAAAGTGTTGTAAATTATGTTGCATTAGAGTCAAACAAAGCCTGTTGCTGTTCGTTCAATCGGTTGCAATTTAAACTTTCGCTCACGGACATTAGTGACGTCATTATTCACTGATGCAAATCAGTTTGCATATCGATTATGTTTTAATTAAAATTAATCATCAATTACTTGACTCGCAGAAGCATAATTAACACGTTGTAAAGGCTTTAGTATTAAAAACTGTTGTCGCTCTCAACTTTGTTCGCAAGGACGTGTTTATCATTGCTAAAGCTAAAGTGAACCGTATTTTATATAGTTGGTCAACTAAATATGAGGTCCACTTCGTTGGAAATCAAAATCTCCGAAAACTATTTTATTTGACATAAGCTTCAAACCGACTTTTTCTCAAAATTTTCCCTTTACTATCTTATTTGCTTTTAAATACTGTCTCTTTTAATACTAGATAAAGTTTACTATTGTCAGTTATTACAAAATAATAAACATCTACATAAGATAGAAAAGGATATCTTTCAATGTTTTCTGCAAACGGAAGTTTTTTTCTAATTACGATAACGAGGTGTGATTTGCAAAGGAATGGAAGAGAAGCGTTAAGTTTTCGACTTCACTGACGCTACAATCAAAGAACTAACGGTAAAGTTTTGAACGCATTATCGACACGCCAGTTATCTGATTGCTTGCCGACATGAACCTAACACGACTCTCCTTATCGATGTTTCAATGAAATATAAAACGAATTTATTCTAGTTTTATAATGTATTAGCTTTCTCCCGCTACTCCGTCCGCGTGGAATCAGAAAAAAACAAAAGTGAGCCTATGTGTTCTTCCAGGCTATCATTTCCAACTACACTAAATTTCGTCGAAATACGTTCAGGAGTTTAGGCTACAAACTCTAACAAGCATGCATCCATCCGTTCATCTATATAAACTTTCGCATTGAAAATATTTTTGATCTCTTATATCTGTTTATGCCTTGGGGTCAGCCTTCCTACTATCCCTCCAGACAGTATGACTTATTTGGGAATACTCGTCAAGTCCTAAATCTGTCAGAGGATTTTTTCTAAGTCATCAAACAGTTGACGTAAAAGATTACGTTATAGGCATTTTTATTAATCTGTATACGTCATTTACTGTACTTCATTGATAGTAAAAAACGGTGTAATTCTTTGGTTCTTTTAATCAATATTTATCTTCCTTAGTCTATTCTTATCTCTACTAATTCCAAACTCAACAATAAGAAAAGTGAATTACGTATTCAAAGTTAGCAGTCACATTGTTTATTTCTTTTGGTCTAAAA